TTATATTTTTATAGGATGTCTTTTGAAGTGTGTGTGTGTGTGTGTGTGTGTGTGTGTGTGTGTGTGTGTGTTGGTCTTGGTCCTAACTTGGGGCCTGGGCACTGTCCCTGAACTTTTTTGCTAATAGATAGTGCTCTACCACTTGAGTGACAGCTCCACTTCTATCTTTTCAGTTGTTAATTGGAGATAAAAGTCTTAGATACTTTCCTGCATGGGCTGGCTTCAAACTGTGATCCTCTGATCTCAGCTTTCTGAGTAGTTAGGATTATAAAAGTGAGCTACTGGTGCCCAACATTTAAGGCACTTTATACCTATTAAATAATCTCGGGGTGTATCTGTAAAAGGAAAACACAAGATAATGGAGGGGGCTTAGAAATACTTGACTTTACTAACAGTAGTCTAATGATGCTGTAGGTGTCTTCTGAGATTGTATGTTAGGGTCTCAGTTCCACCCCTCTCTCCACTCTTAAGTTTGGGCCTACGGTTCATTTTTAGTAGAGGCTATAGTTTTGTACCAGTCTAACTTCTCCATCCTTCAGGCCTGGCTTGTTCCCAGTGCTCAGAGCAACATAAATCACAAGCTGTAGCTCTGAGCCCTGGAAACATGCCAGTTCTTGTGTCCATGTGGAGATGAAGGTGTGTAGCCCAAACAACTTGATGGAATGGAGGAATGGGGTGGGGCTGGGGCTAAAACATCCTACTGGGGCCATTGTCTTGCTCTCCACCTCCAATGCCTTACTCCCTCCTCTCTTCCCTCCCCCACCAAAGCTCAGATATCTGATGCCCAGCCCAGTTACAAGCCTAAACTGTTTAAGTAAACTTTCCCCACATCTCAATGGGAGATGGAATAATAGTCACTCTTAGAGAGTGACTATAATGATTTGTCTGGGTGTTGTAGACTCAAGCCTATAATCCTGACTATTCAGGAGGCTGAGATCTGAGAATTGAAGTTTGAAGCCAGCCCTGGCAGGAAAGTCCATTAGACTCTTGCCTCCAGTTAAACACCAAAAAAGCTGAAAATGGAGCTGTGGCTCAAGTGGTAGAGCTCTAGCTTCAAGCACAAAAGCTTAGGGACATTGTCCAGGCTCTGAGTTCAAACTCCAGGAACAGCTCAAAACAAAACAAAACCAAAAAGAGATTTTATGTATATTAACATGTTAACCTTGTTCCCAAAAAGATTTGGAGACATATATGTGGGTTAGAATACTACAATAATACTTGGCAAACTTTATGTTGGGATGTGTGTGTATGTGTATGTGTGTTGCTGGGGCTTGAATTCAGGACCTTGAGTTCTTCTTAAAGAATAAAATGGTAGGGCTGGGAAGATGGCTTAGTGGTAGAGCGCTTGCCTTGCATGCTTGAGGCCCTGGGTTCGATTCCTCAGCACCACATAAGCAAAAAAGAAAAAAGCCGGAAGTGGCGCTGTGACTCAAGTGGTAGAGCACTAGCCTTGAGCTGAAGAGCTGAGGGACAGCGCCCAGGCCCAGAGTTCAGGCCCCATGACTGGATTCCCCCCCAAAAAAAACAAAAAAACAAAAGAATAAAATGGTAAATATTTGAATCTTTGTAGTAGTGGTCATTTGGAATAACTATTCCCCTTTATTTCTGTAACAAATTACCTAGTCTACTCCTAGGTTAGAACGTTGTACTACTTTTCTAAAAAATTTTTATGTTATTCTTTTTTCTTTTTCTGCAAAGTGCTCACATTTTGGAGGGTTTTGTTTTGTCTGTGTTTGGTGTGGTCTAGATCTCTGGTGTCCCTCCTGGGCCTTCACAGCTTTGTGATCAGTCAGTGATTTGACAGAGGTCCACACTTAAGTATGAAGCTTCCACATACTGCTACCCAATCTATGCATAAGTCAAAAGAGTCCATTAAAAACTACAGCATCTGTCTCATCAGCTTTTATTTCGCTGGGCCTGCAAGGGGTTCCTCATGTGCTGTTCATCCATCAGCCACAGCTGCATGGAGAGGACTGTGCCCTGGCCTGCCACTACACGCTTATCCACAGGGTCTCCCCATGTAATTGTGTTTGCTCTGCATCTCCCCCAAACAAAATCAGGAACTCCACCCAATAAGTCTGGGAAATTTACCACCAGGTCCAGCCCCTTCAGGCTGAGGCAGGAAGCTGGGGCATACAAGAAGGGTATGAGATGAGTCACCCTTGGAATGCCCAGAATATTCCCCAAACAGCCCCCACTAGTCCTTGTGGTTGTCTGCATCTGGCAGTTAGGGTAAAGGGAGATGTCCATAAGGATTATGTGTATTTTGTGCATCTGATTTTAAAAAAAAAAACACCTGGGAATGAGCATTTGACACGTTTGCAATATGGCTTGAGTTATAAAACTCAGACCTAGCAGTCAAACCCTAATTAGCTTAAACATTCTCAATAGAGGATATCCAAACATTCTTCCTAGAAAATAAAAGACAGACTGACCTAAACCACAAGGCTCTTGGGTTTCTTGACTCAAGTGCTGATGGTGACCTTTCCCTTTTGAGGATCCTCTACTGCTCTGCAACCCAGCCCTTGTCTCAGATCAATTCTTTGATGGAAGCTACAGATGAGAACCACAGCCAGACCCAGCCCCCAGCAACAAGCCACAAACTTTTACCTGGTGCAGCAGCTGCATACATGAGGAAATACTTTCAGTTCTTTGGGTCATTCAGTAATTTGTCCAGTTTTATATTTTGGGGAGAGAGGGAAGGGGAAAGAAATCACCCAATAACCTCAAGCAGTCATAAGTGAAAGTAGAATTATTGACCCCAATTTAAATGTTTATAACTATATTACTTATCAATATGTTTTATATATATAAATAAAACAAATACATTTAAAAAATTAGCCATCTGGGTTTCTGTAACTCACGCCTGTAATCCTAGTTACTCAGGAAGTTGAGATCTGAGGATCATGATTCAAAACCAGCCCAGGCAGGAAAGTCCATGAGATTCTTATCTCCAATTAACCAGCAAAAAGCTGGAAGTGGAGTTGTGGCTCAACTGGTAGAGTACCAACCTTGGGTGAAAAAGCTAAGGACTGCCGGGCACCAAGTGGCTCACATCTGTAATCCTAGCTACTCGGGAGGCTAATATCTAAGGATCATGGTTTGAAGCCCACCCAAGCAGAAAAGTCCATGAGTGCTACTAGCCTTGAGTACAAAGAGGCTCAGTGACAGTGCCCAGGCCCTGAGTTCAAGCTCTAGAAGCCGCAAAAAAAAAATAAGAAAAGAGGCTAAGGGACAACTCCTTAGCCCTGAGTTGAAACCCTAATACCAACACACACACACACACACAGAGACAGAGAGAGAGAGAGAGAGACAGAGAGAGAGAGAGCGCTAACCAGCCCGAGGGAAAAAACCTTGAGTTTCTGCAGAGGGGGAAAAATACAGACAGATGAATCATACAATTAAGTAGACAATTAAGTTCTTTTTTTTTTGGTCAGTCACAGGGCTTGAGCTCTGGGCCAGGGCACTGTCCCTGCGCTCTTCAGCTCAAGATGAACACTCTACTGCTTGAGCCACAGCACTACTGCCGGTTTTCTAGTGGTTTATTGGAGATGAGAATCTCATGGACTTTCCTGCCTGGGCTGGCTTTGAACCATGATTCTCAGATCTCAGCCTCCTGAGTAGCTAGGTGTGAGCCACCGGTGCCTGGCTTGGCAATTAAGTCCTTTACAGTCTAGATTACCTATTAGAAACAACCTAAGTACAAAAAAGTTTTGTAAACCAGGGACATTTCTACATAAACCCAGACCCCCCCATACCTAAGAAATGAATATTACTAAGCTCAGACTTTCTGAATTCAAATATAAGAATGCATTTGAACTTTGGAGAAATCACCTTGAAAGCCACAAGGCAGTGCAGGCTCAGGGAGGTCAGCACGGCCAGAAGGAGAACAGTGGCCAGGTTCCTCGGGTCCCATATGGTCTCCACCAGAGGAATGCTGCCCACCTGCCAGTCGTAGCACAGGGTCACAGGTGCCAGCAGAAGCCACACGTTGAAGGCCAAGAGGTAGGAATAGGTAAGGAATCTATACAGAAAAAAGAAGCGACAAAACACAACTCAAGATCCACATTTCATCTCTGTCAGGGTTATCATCCCAGGAAGATCAGAAAAGATGTCAAGTCATACATTCATCCATTCCCATGGGGCATCTGGAGATGTATCTGCCACTCACTTAGGGGCTGGCCGTTCCAATGGGGAACAAGAAAAGACACAGCTTCCAGGACATACGTTTAAAAACTATCATGCAAATGAGGGAAGAGTTAGCTGCTCTAGTTGGCTAGTTAGGAACAGGAGGAAAAAAAGGCATCTGGGCTTAATGCCAACATGTTAAAGAAATATGGCACTGAGCAGAATCTCATCTGGCCTCTTATTCCCATCAGGCCACACACCTCCAGTGAACTGAGGTGAATGCATGTCCCACCCACCCTCTTCTTCTGTGCTCTGGACCCAAAGCCAGGGACCCAATCAAAAGGAAACTTCCTGTTTGTGCTAGAGGTGAGGAAACCAATCAGGAGACCTCTGATAGTTCAGGCCCTTATTCAACCAATTAAACAAAAAATAAGCCCTTTGTTGGGTACAAGGGGGTGGGGAAGAGCGGGGACCATGTATCTGACTGGTCCAGACAAAGAGATCATGGCTACCATCTTTGGGACCCCTTTCTTCAGAAAGTCTATTCCACTATTGTTGTTTTCTCCCCTCAAAGCAACTTGTTCTGTCTGCTTAAAATACTTTCTTGCCATTTAATTCTTTAGTGGGCAAATGACACAAACAAACCTGACCTTAGACACTATCACAAACAAATGCATTACAGCCTGAGATAAATACCAGAAAGAACGTGCTTGTTGAGAGCTTTGTCAGAAATGCTACTGTTGTAAGTACAATCCTCTTGATAAGAGACATTTGAACCATCCCTTCTTAGGAGTGTCTAGAAGCTCACAGTCAATTTGAAAACATTTTATCATTTTTAGAACAGATTGATCTGAGTTGATTTTTTAAAAGTTATTTGTAGTGAGGAGATAAAAATCCCTTAGTCTCAAGGGTATGAAACCCTGAGTTCATCACGCAGTACTGGCACAAAAAAAGAATTTTTTTCCTGGGTGCCAGTGGCTCATGCCTGTAATTCTAGTTATTCAGGAGGGTAAGGTCTAAGGATAGAGATTCAAAGCCAGCTAGGGCAAGAAAGCCTCTGAGACTTTTATCTCCAATTAAGCAACAACCCTCCCCCCCTCAATCCAAACTGGAAGTAGAGCTCTGGCTCAAGTAGTAAAGTGCTAGCTTTGAGCAAAAAAGCTTACAAAGTACAGCCCTAAGTTCAAGCCCCAGGACTGGCACATATACGAGTAAATAATAATAATGAAAAAAATGTTTTATGTTACTTTTATATTTAGATATATGCTTCTTGTGACATTTTAGATTGTAACTCAAATAGGTTTTAAAAACTAAAGTTAAAAAAACCACAGAACGGGCTGGGAAGGTGGCTCAGTGGTAGAGCGCTTGCCTTGCATGCTCGAAGCCCTGGGTTCGATTCCTCAGCACCACATAAGAAAAAAGCCAGAAGTGGTGCTGTGGCTCAAGTGGTAGAGTGCTAGCCTTGAGCTGAAGAGCTGAGGACAGCGCCTAGGCCCAGAGTTCAGGCCCCACAACCGGACCAAAAAAAAAAAAAAAAACCCACAGAATTAAAAGTAAGTTACCTTCTCTATCAAATACTAGAGAAGTTTAAACGATTTACTTGAACAAAATTATGGGGGGAGGGGGATAATGGACACATGTGCAAGTACTAGTCCTGGGGCTTGAACTCAGGGCCTGGGAGCTATCCCTTAGCTTTTACACTCAATGCTGGCACTTGAGCCACAGATCTACTTCAGGACTTTTGTTGATTAACTGGAAGTAAAAGTCTCCTGGAATTTCCTGCCTGAACTAGATTCAAACAGTGATCCTCAATCTCAGCCTCCTGAACAGCTAGGATTATATAGACAGGAGCCACCCATGCCCATATTCTCATGTTCTCTTTTGGTACACATTTACTATGTCTAGAGATGCAGAAATATTTCTATCTTCAAGCTCACATGATTCAGATCAGGTTGATAATAAGTTAGCATTTCAAGTTTCTTGCAGAAATAAGCACAAAGAGGCCATTTGGAATCACTCCAAATGTTAATGACATTTTAAGGAGAACTGTTTGAGCTAGCTGTAATCACCAGCTAAAGCATTTCTTTTAACTCCTTGACAATGAATTACATTCAGGCCAATCACTTCTTTCATATCTGCTAAAATTTCAGAAACAAAATAAACTGTACAATGTCTGGACTTACTGGATTCTCCCTCCCCTCCCGTCCCTCCTTCTCTAGACTCTCCTGTCTCTCTCTCAGCAAGAACAAACACAAAGGGAATTATTTTGCCAATTTTCTACTATAAATTCCACTTACAGGAGGAAAACCACCACAATATCCTGCCAACCAATTGGAAAATACAACTTGGAGAGCCAGAAAACTAACTTGGACAATTTCATCAGACACTTTGCTTCATAAATTAGGGAAGACAAGGGGCTGGGAATGTGGCTTAGTGGTAGAGTGCTTGCCTAGCATGCATGAAGCCCTGGGTTTGATTCCTCAGTACCACATACACAGTAAAGGCCAGAAGTGGCACTGTGGCTCTAGTAGAAGAATGCTAGCCTTGAGCAAGGAAGCTCAGGGACAGGGCTCAGGCCCTGAGTTCAAACTCCAGGACTGGAAAAAAAAATTAGGAAAGGCAACAGGTTTCATGACAGAAATGCAAGTTAGGAAAGCCAGGACTCTGGGGATGGTGCATTTGACTCCTTATCAGACCATCTCGTTACAATAATGAATCTAGTGCTTCATCTAGTTACTAAAGGCATCTACTATGTAGATCTGTGGTCTTTCTCCATAAAGCCCTAAACAACATTTTTATTCCAGACTAATTTATGTCCACTTCCACCAGCATGTAGCTCTGCTTACCGTCCAGAGCCTCAGGTGTCCATGGAAAAATCCTGCTGGCCTACTGATGAACCTCTTTCTATCTCATTTTTTCAAATTCTGTTAGCCTGATGTCAGTGACTCATGCCTGTAATCCTAGCTACTCAGGAGGCTGAGATATGAGAATCATGATTTAGAGCCAGCCAGGGCAAACAAATCCAAGAGACTCTTATCTCCAATTAGCAGCAAAAATCTAGAGTGGAGGTGTGGGTCAAGTGGTAGAGTGCCAGCCCTGAGTGAAAAAGCCAAGCAAAAGTGTGAGGTCCTGAGTTCAAGGCCCTGTAGCAGAGCATGTACGCCTGTGCGCATGAGCGTGCGTGCACATCTTAACATCCTGTTAAGATGTACAACATTTTGAAGTTTGTAAAGCATATGAATATAGAGATTTCCTGTCATCTAAAAATCTCTGTACAGTGAGCATTGCCTTCTTTGTGCCTAAGGAACCAGCTGTGATTTCTTCTTGTCCCAAAGCAAGCAAACATGTCCAGCCTGTACACACATGAGAGAGGTTTTAAATACAGTTTCACCAAGGGCTTGCTAGGAGCGTTTTATTACTAATGTGGAGAACTGAAAGGCAATATATCGTGGTTATATCTTTTTCCTGTTTGTTTTTCTGTGCCAGTCCTGGGGCTTGAACTCAGAGCCTGAGTGCTGTCCATGAGCTTCTGTGCTCAAGGCTGGCACCCTGCCACTTGAGTTGCAGCTCTATTTTTGGCTTTTTGGTGGTTAAATGGACATAAGAGCCTCATGGGCTTTTCTGCCTAGGCCTCAGCCACCTGTGTAGCTGTGGCGCCTGGCCTCATGATCACATCCTAAGGCTGCATGTAAAGGTACTACCTGCCAGGGCCCCTGACCCACTCACTAGCCAGCACAACACAGGTAATCCCAAGCAATCACACATTAAAGCAAGGCAGATACAAATCTGAGAATTAGGAAAGAACGCCTCTGGCAGCACACCCAGTTCATGATTACACTGTTGGAAATGTTTGCCAGAACATTCCACAACAAGAAACACAATGCTGAAATCAAAGCCTGGACCTGATATTTTACTCATTCTACAAAGCAACTGTAGTTTGATGTTTCCATGCTAACAGAAATGAAAGAGCTGTTGCTTCAGATCTCATCGACTTTTCCGAGATTTAAGATAGCAATGGAAAGACGATGTAGAGATTTAAACATAGTCTTTTTCAAAAAGTAAAATATCAGTTATCTGAATCCTTAAGAGATAATTTTTCAGAATTCAAAACCTAACACTGAAGTAATAAGATGATGAAACCAGGCACCGGTGGCTGATGTCTGTAACCCTAGCTACTCAGAAGACTGAGATATGAGGATCATGGTTTAAAGCCAGCAGGGCATAAGAGTCCATGAGACACCTATCTCCAATTAACCAGAAAAATGCCAAAAGTGGAGGTATGTCTCAAATCGTGGAGTGCCAGAATTAAGCAAAAAAGCTAACCAAGAGAGCAAGAACCTAAGGGTAAGTCCCAGGATTGACACATATACCCAAAAATACAGTAAAAAGTAATAATACACATATCATAACCAGCCAAAGCTCTACGCTACGACAGAAGTCATATAGGTTTCTTCTGTCTTTCTATGCCATAGATAATCTTTCTTTTTCTTTCTTTCATTTTTGTCAGTCATGCGGCTTAACCTCAGGGCCTGAGTGCTGTCCCTGAACTCTTTTTTGCTCAAGGCTAGTGCTGTAACACTTTGAGCCACAGCACCACTTCCAGGTTTTTGTGGTTGATTGGAGATAAGAGTCTCACAGACTTTCCTGCCTGGAGCTGGCTTCAAAGTTTGATCCTTGGATTTCAGCATCCAGTAGCTAGGATGACAGGCATAAGCCACAGCACCCAGTGATAATTTTTCTTAACAATGTTAACCACACAATCAGGACTCTTCATGTCAGTTCAATTAAGCACCAAACACAGGGAGGATATTTCCTGAACTCAGCTCCTGAGACTAGGTTACCTAGAAGGAGGGTATGCTGGACCTAAAGCCACAAGTGGTCATTTCAAACACTGGGAAACACTCTGAACAGAATCTAGAATAAAAGTTTAATTAAAAAGAGAGACAGCCAGATGTTAGTGGATCATGCCTATAATCTTAGCTACTCAGGAATCTGAGATCTGAGGATCACAGTTCAAAGCCAGCCTGGGCAAGAAAGTCTATGACAATCTTATTTCCAAGTAACCACCAAAATGCCAGAAGTGAAGCTGTGGCTCAAGTAGTAGAGTGCTAGTCTTGAGTGAAAAAAATCTCAGGACAGTGCCCAGACCCTGAGTTCAAATACCAGGACTAACACACACAAAAATAAAAAGACATACATTAATAACTATAGCAACTCCTAAGTAAAGAACAACTGAAACACCTCCTGATGATTCATTATACTTACTTTAAAAGGAGAGCTAATACTTGCAAGATGAGAAAGCAGAAATATGACTAAGTTATATGTGGTTTATAAATGCAGTAAAGTAACACTTATGGCCTGTATTGTGCCAGCTACCACCTCATATACTAAGCCCCACTCTCCAGTGTGACTTCTTTGGAGATCTGACTATAGGAAGTAGTAAGGATTAAATGAGGTTCTAACAGGGGTGGGCTCTAATCTAGAGCTGGTACCTTGAGGAGGGAGCCTCAGAAATCTTGTGGGGGGGTAGTGGGGGGGCATGGTGGTGGTGCTAGTGTGTGTAGGGGTGCTGTCACTGAGCTTTTTATTTTTTACTCAAGGCTAGCTCCGTGTGTGTGTGTGTGTTGTGTGTGTGTGTGTGTGTGTGTGTCTGCCTGGAGACTGAGACGAGGCAAAAGAATGACTAATTTGTAGCCATCCTAGGCTACAATGTGAGACCATATACATAATCTGACCTTTTTTTTTTTTCTTTTTGCCAGTTCTGGAGCCTGAATTTATGACATGGGGCACTGTCCTGAGCTTCTTTTGCTTAAGGCTAGGGCTCTACTACTTGAGTCACAGGTCTACTCCTGTAGTTGTGATAGTTTATTTGAGATAAGCCTTTCTTGGACTTTCTGCCCAGGCTGGCTTTGAGCCCCATGATTCTCAGATCTCAGCTTCCTTAGTAGCTAGGATTATAACTGTGAGCCACAAGTGCCCAGTTTTATACTCTGACTTATAAGAGACACAAGAGAAAGGCCGTGTGAGGGCCCAGGGACAAGGCAGCCATCTACAAGGCAGGAGAGAGGCCTTACCACACACAACCTGTGTAAACATCTTCACCCAGGGGCTGGGAAGGTGGCTCAGTGGTAGAGCGCTTGCCTTGCATGCCTGAGGCCCTGGGTTCGATTCCTCAGCACCACATAAGTGAAAAGAAAAAAGCCAGAAGTGGTGCTGTGGCTCAAGTGGTAGAGCGCTAGCCTTGAGCTGAAGAGCTGAGGGACAGCGCCCAGGCCCAGAGTTCAGGCCCCACGACCGGACCCAAAATGAAATAAAATAAAATAAACATCTTCACCTGGACTTGCAGCCTCTACAACCAGGAGAGAAAAAAATGCCTGGTGTTGCAGCCAGAGGTTGACAGTTATGGAAGAATCTAATGGTGAGTAAGAAGCCTGTCAGTGATGTTTACTGGCAGGGCCAACTAACCAACTGGGAACCAGAAGAGACAGACTTCTGAGTCCTGTCCCAGAAGAAAGCACAGATGACCAGGAAATGCAGCAGAACTAAGAAACCAGGGGAGACAGTGCAAGAGGACTGAGACCTGGCAGCCTGCTAGCCTCAGAGAAGCATGTAGGCAGAGAGACCTCACTCAGATCAGCAGAGGAAACAAAGACTGTTTCCTGAGACTCAGAAGTATCATTTTAAGCCAAGTGCAGTGACTCACATGTGCAATCCTATCTACAGAGGAGGCTGAGATCTGAGAATTAAGGTGGAAAGCCAGCCCAGGCAGGAAAAGTCAGTGATCTGCTGATCTCCAATGAACCAGCAAAACTCCCGAAGTAGAAGTGTGGTGTTAAGTGGTAGAGTGAAAGCTACAGTGTTATTTAGGACTCATATTTTAATGTTTAGGTTAGTGTTATTTAAATCTTTCTGGTACGTTATGACATTCTAACCCCTCTGTCATCACTTTTATAATAATAATAAAAACTTAAAAACTTTCTAGTATGAATGAAAGTATCACTACATAAGCCATTAATTTATAAAATTGATAGATACTAGTAAAATATTAAAAAAAACTAACAAAATTTTAGAAAATGAACTATGGTACAAATAGTAAAGTTTCGGATATTTATGTCCACTGACCTTGTAAGAATGTAAGGTGAGAAGGAAGCTGGGTTGTCCTGCTCTGAAAAGAGGGGCGTAGATCCTCCCATTATCCACAGGCGAAAGTACAACAGCACCATCACCTACAGGAAACAAGAAGCTTCGTAAAGTGGCGGTCCCTAGCAGAACCTTCTCTGTCTGACAGGGCTTCTAGCATGCTTACATGTGCTCAGCAGAAGAACAAGCAAGGCCCTGTAACTTCCAGATTCTTTTTTTTTTTTTTTTTTAGCACTAAGCTGCTTGGCTGCAAGGAGTTCTGTGTCACAGGAAAGGCTATCGAGGTTTGGGTATCACAGAGAGAAGTGTGGGAGACAACAAGGGGTGAGCCCTTGAGGGAGCTCACCTGAGCAGGTGACTGGCACCACCAGAAAATACTGCTGAGTTAAGTCATGGAGGGCAATACATGGTTGCTCTCTATATAATATTAAATGCTGAGACCATTACCATCAATAGACAATTCTGAGACCTGGTTCACCTCTGTAATCCTATCTACCCAGGAGGCTGAGATCTGAGGATCCTGGTTGGAGGCTAGCTGAGGTAGCCAAGTCTATGAGACTCTTAACTCCAATAAACTAGCAAAAAGGCTGAAAGTGGAGCTGTGGCTCAAGTGGTAGAGTGCTAGACTTGAGCAAAAAAAAAAAAAAAAAAGGTCAGGGACAGTGCCCAGGCCCTGAGTTCAAACCTCAGAATTGTATAAGATAGATAGACAGACAGGTAAACGGACTGACAGATTTAAAGGCCTTCAGTGTAGCCCTCACTGTCAGTGAGTTCACACATATCTAGAATACTTACTTTTTTTCTTTTTTTAAACCAGTCCTGGGGCTTGAACTCAGGGCCTGGGCACTGAGCTGCTTTTGCTCAAGGCCTAGCACTCTACCACTTGAGCCACAGCACCACTTCTGGCTTTTTCTGCTTATGTGGTACTAAGGAATCTAACCCAGGGCTTCATGCATGCTAGGCAAGCACTCTACCACTAAGCCACATTCCCAGCCAACCTAGAATACTTTCACACATACCAAAGCTGTGTAACATTCATATTATGCAAACTCTTCTGTATCCAGATCACGTCAATTCTACTGTTGATTCTATTACATTATCTAGGTCATGTATCTGAGCTGAGTTGAAGTAAAAACATTCTTTATTAAGACATTTCACAAATACATTTATACTTACATAACTTATGACCAAAATGGCCCTTTTGAAAAATGGTCTCATGGAAAGCAGGTAATTACTATTGCTGCCTGTTGTCAGGTACCTGAAAGAGGAGAGAAGAGAAAAAAATGTTTAGATATATGCAAGAGTATACCACGTATTGTCTCTGAAGTAAATATGCTATGTATCTGGAGAAGCGGGGAGCCAGACTGTAGAGTCTGAACACTGACTCCAATCCCCAACTCTGTTGCCTACAACCTAGGAGGCCAAGGAAAGCTTCTATTTTGTGCACGTGTGTGTGTGTGTGTGTGTGTGTGTGTGTGTGTGTGTGTATTTATTTGTGTCAGTACTAGGGGCTTGAACTCAAGGTCCCATATTCTCCTTGGTATTTTCACTTAAGGCTGATGCTCTACCACTTGAGCCATACCTCCACTTCTGATTTTTTTCCTGGTTAATTGGAGTCGCACAGACTTTTCTGCTGGAGCTGGCTTTCAACTGTGATTGACAGATCTCAGCCTCCTGAGTAGCTAGGATGACAGACAGGCGTGACCCCCTAGGTCCAACAGTTTAAAGTACACAGTGAAAGAATGAAGCTGTATCAAATCACGTGACCCAACAAGTATTTTCCAACTCTGGTTTCCCTCATTCCTTTTCTTTTCTTTTTTTGTTGGGGGGGGGTCCGGTTGTGGGGCCTGAACTCTGGGCCTGGGCACTGTCCCTCAGCTCTTCAGCTCAAGGCTAGTGCTCTACCACTTGAGCCACAGCGCCACT